CTGCTGAAGATGTATGGCACCTCTGAGTCATGAGGAAAGAGGAAGCAGGGGTGGCACAGGGCAAATAGGGTCGCAGCCCTGCGTGCCCATGAAGGGTCATCGGCAAGTGAAGAAACCACGTGAAGACTCAGAAGAGCTTTAGAAACCCAGTTGCTCCAAATCCTTGTCCAAGTCTAAACCAGCAACCAGGGTCGGTGGGGACTTTAGTACATGGCTTCCCAAACAGGGTTCCACTGAACACCAGAGCAGACTTGTGAAAAAGCAGGCACTGAAAATGCTACGGAGCTCAATTATGCTGTGACAAACAAGGTGTCTCCGAGTCTGAGTAGACTCAACAGCACCTGTGAACTGGCCATAGTCAGATTTAGCAATGTTGCCTGTTTGGTTCCTGTCCTGGAGAGTCCTGGTGTATCTTAGTGTAGCAAAGACTCTGAGAAGTCCTGCACGTAAGAAACCCATTCACTCTGGTTAATTGAGATGTGATCCTGAAGGCCTTTCTAATACCAGCTAACATGGCAGGGAGTTCTAGAAGGAGTTCTAGGGAACGCTGTTTTAGAGGAATAAATAATCAAATGATACAGAAAAGACATGACTCAAGTCTAGATATGGGTCTGATATGGAGACAGTAATGGCAGGCAAGGCTGGAGAAGTGGTGGGGAACGGCTGTCATGTTTAGTTATGTGCCAAGTGACATCAAACATTCTCTCAGTGTATTTTGTCTCCGAATACAGACTTGAGGTCTCTGATGGGGAGAACCAAAGTCTATTTAGAGGCAAGTAGATGAGAGGACATTGCCCCTAACCCATGAGGCTTCATTTCTCTTAGACCTTTTTCTCCAGTGGGACTCGGCACAGAGGGAAAAAAAATAGGATTTTTTTTCATAGAATAATTTAGTCTGCTGTTACCAAGCAACAGGAAGATGTGAAGCAGAAATAGGAAAGGTACAAATAGAGCCTTCATGAAGTCAGCTCTAGTGGAATAGTCTGTAGCTTGTTGTGCTACTGGCCAAATGGTGTCCAGCCTCTGACTGCCCTGCAGGAGAAGGGGGGGCAGTCTCCTCCCCCTAAGAAGTGAAGCCTCCCAACCTGAAGGGCGCCGCTGTGCATCAGAATCTACTCGACCGACTGACTGCAGTGTGTTTGCCTTTGTTTTAGGGGAGCCTTCTTGCCACTAAGGGACACAGAAGCGAGATCACTGTGGAGGGTCAAAATGCTGCCTGTCCCCCAGTCTTCTGCACTCCCAGAGCCCGTCCCTATTCTTGCTGTGCTCCACATCTGAAGCCCTTCAGTTTATCCTCTCAAAAATCTCACAGGGGTCCTTTCCCCCAGCAGGCTCTGGGAGAAGGGGAAGCCTTACCCTAACCAATAACAACAGATGTCATTCATCCAGCACCTGCTACAGGCAGACATCACACCACTGGTACCCCCGTGACTCGCTCACATGCCTTACAACAACCTTATCCTGTTGGAGTTGGGATTGACGCTTTTTGCAGATGAAAGAAGTGAAGGCCAGAAAAGTTATATAAATCGTCCAAGGCCACGCAGCAAATTAAGGGAGATTCAGGACTCAAAACCAGTTGACTGAAATAGTCCTTTCAGATCTTCCTGTTTGTCTTTCATGCCTTTTGCTGTTCCTTTTATGTTGATGATGTGATTGGCCTTTCAGTACACTATGAACAAAAGGCCTGAAGCCCCTCTACAACTACTGACATTTATCAAAGTTCATAGAGTTTCCTTCCAGAGGCATGTTATTTAGGAAGTCGATGCCACTCCTGCTTCCAAGTTCCTTTCATAGAGACCTCATTTGTTGCTGGTGTTTGCATAGTGTTTAAGAGTTTGTGAAGTGTTTTCAAACAAAGCCTCAGCATCACTCCGCCTTGCGCTTCAAGGTTTCACTACAATTAACAGCCTTGCCCTGGCCTGGGCCCCTCTCCTCCTTGTCAAAGCTCCTTCCAGATAGAGTGTGATGTTTACTCAATCGTAGCTCATCCTCCAATTCCACCAGCACTCTGCATAGAACAGACCCTGAACAAACGTCTTAGGAACTAATGTTTAAACTCTTGTGCCAGACTGCCTAAGTTTAAATCCTACCACTGCCACTTATGAGTTTGGACGAATTACTGAAGTCTTGGTTTTTCCATCTATTCTACTTATTAAGATGAAATTAGTTACAGAAGAGAAAGGAAAAAAGCCAATGACTCAGATAAGAAATTAATCAGTAGGACTAATAGTCTACCTAATTGTTAGAGTCTAATCTACTCTGAGAACAGAGGAACCAGAATGGTGCCTGACTACCACTAACAGTCACAACAGATGGATCCTAGTAGCAGGGGAGAAAACAGTGGATCACGATTCAGGTTATTAACAAATGCTGAATTACTGAAGTGATTAAAACTAGAAGATTCCTCAAGTCTAGCTATCACTCAGAGATGCTTTGTTAACTTTGAACTTAAACTACCCCAAGGTCACCTTTTTAGCTAAATAACAAATTGACTTATGTAATAACGAATATATGTATGCACCCTGTGAACCTCTAAAAAGTCATCAACTTGAAATCAAATAGTCCATAATTACTCTGAAGCATAAATGAAAGAACGAGGAGATGGGGAAGCCAGATTTCTGAGAGGAGGGGGTGGGAAATGGAGACCAGAAAGGAATTAATGAGAATGTTGGCATATTGTGAAAAATGTAACCAATGGTCTTCTATGTTGTTCTGTACCATTAAGTAGGCACCAACTCATAGTTAACCCTCTAGCAAGTTCTTAGAGACAGCAAACCCCAAGGAGATACTGTCTGTCTGTCTTTCTCCTGTGGAACAGCTGGGGGATTTGAACCGCATGCCTTTGGGCTGACAGTGCAACTCCTTGCCACCAAGCCATCAGAACAATTAGTGCAGCAATTGTTAAATAGGAACCTAATTTTCTGTGGAAACATTTACCGAAAACACAATAAATATTATTTTTTAAAATTCCACAGTACACCAATATTTTTAAAAGTTGATTGTACATTTCTTTTCTTACTCGTTTCTTTTCCCTTTGAAGTGATGATAATAGTTGACACTTGCATAGAATTTTTAGATACAGAGCCCAGTTGCATATAGTTTACACATTTTAACACTTGATCTGCAGGTCTGAAATTCCAAATGGGTGCTCATTTTGAAGGTCACAAGACACTTGACCAGGAAGAGTTGTAGAGGAATAACATGGGGGGGACATCTCCCACAGGATTCACAGGCTAGCAGCCAGCGAGCTGGCTACCTTTGGGTTCTGAGCATTGAAGAAGGATGCAGATCCTGAGTTATAAAGAAAGGCCATAAAAGGGGCCCAACAGAGAGCAAGGTCAACACGGCAGTGTTCCAATATGTCCGTTTGCCAGATGACCCTCAATATGTTATAAAACCAAGATTCAACAACTGTAAAACTTCGAGAGCTTTTACAGGCTGTGAGTTAAGCCTTCTTAGCGGTAAAAGGATTGTCTCAAGGGGATGTAAAACAGGCTGTGCTTTTCCACCCCAGATCCCTGCACAAGCTTGTTTTGACATTTCAAGTGCACACTTCTTTTAAATGAAGGAGAACCACTCGAAAATAGCAAGAGATAGGTTTATTCCTTGATTGATCTGGGAGTGGCTCTTACGGACACACTCAGGTTAACCTTTTTTACAGGCATCCATCTGAGAGCGGCACGGGGGTGCCAGGTGTGCCTTTTCTCTATGTGGATTCTCCTCCAATAAAAAACTGTCGAGTATGCCCTCTCCATCACAGTGATGTCTGTGATTGGGAAAACAATGGATATCATCTAAGACCTTTTAACTAAATTACGTTCTATTTGTATGTTAGAAGACCATGTGGGCCTTATAAATAATGGAATCGAGATCTAGAAACTGACAGGGAAAGGGAAAGATACTAAGCTCTAATGTTAAGTAAGAAAAGGAAGTGCAGAGGAGTGTGTGTGTGTGTGTGTGTGTGTGTGTGTGTGTGTGTTTGTGTGTGTGTGGTATTGTAGTTACTAGGTGTCATTGGGTCAACTATAACATATATGACTCTCTGAACAACAGGTCTACACCTCGCCCTTTCCTGCACCCTCCTCTGACGCGCTCAAGCCCATTGTTACAGTCGCTACGTCAATCCATATTGTTAAAGGTCTTCTCTTTCTCTGACACTCCACCTTTCCTAGCATGATGTCTTTTATAAGGACTAGCTCTTCCTGAAAATATGCCCAAAGTGCATGAGATGAAGTGTTACCAACCTTGCCTTTGAGGGTCACCTTGATTGCAGTGTGTGCATGTGTGTAAAAAGAAATATAAGCAGACACCACGCTAAAGTCAGAGGTATAACTTGATGTTATGTTTGTTTCTGTGGAAAAATCCACTTGAAAAAGAAAAGAGACTTTGAGTATGAATATTTTCATATATATAAAACAAAATGCTTAGGGGGAAAAGTAGACCTTGATTTGTTAACAATGGGGAGGGAATTGATTTTCAGTTTCTGTGTTATATATTTACATATATCTACTTTTATTTTATTTTATGAAAACCTGATGTAGGATCAGCTATGGGTCAGTTCCGACTTGACACACACAACAATGTCTGCTTTTAATTTTTTTTATGTTGTTGTCATTGAATACCATGGAATTGGAAGTAATCACAGCTCACCCGCCAGTGGGTTTTCAAAGGCAGCAAATCCCCCTTTGGGAGGAGATTGCCCATCTTTCTCCTGTGGAGCAGCTGGTGGAACCACACTGTGTACATTTGTATTGGCGCTGCAATTCCTTACCACCAAGCCAGGAAAAAGTTAATAATCACAAGGAGGCAACATTATTATTATTATTATTATTATTATTATTCCCAACTCATATATATTGCTCACTGCTGCAGAGTAGGCGAATCTGGTCAGTGAACCAGAACTGAGTAAGAGTGACCCTTTAAGGCCCAGCAGTTTTTTTATTCTACCTGAAATTCCCTGAGCCAGCAAAGTTCAAGTACAGCATGAGGAGCCTACTTACCTGTAAAATTTTGGAGTAACTGATTACAATGACCAGTCCAGGCACCAAGAAGTTCAAAGTGGCAAAAGATACATCCCACGAGATTTCTCCTGCAAGGCTGGGCCAAACCAGAGTGCAAATTGGGATTTCCTAGTTATTGAAAAGAAGAGAACATGACTTAAGTGTCATTGTCTTACTTGGTGACAGTCCTAGTTGCGAGTTACCTGACACAGTCACACCTTTGTGTTACACTATTACACAAATGTGATATGAACAGAATGTGCCAGAATTCTATCCACTGCCTACTATCACCCCACTTTCAAACCATTTGTTTCTGACCCTCGGAATAACCATTGAAAGCTGGGTAATAATTATCATTTCCATTCTCCAGGGGAGGTACTTAAGTTACCAGGGTCTCAGGGTCATAGTCAAGTGTGGGTCTTGAAACGTCAAGGTTTCTAATTCTTCCCGCCCCCTGGGCTCAGCTGCAAAAAGCCTCCCCATTTTCTCTCGCAAGCATTTTGCTTTGTGGTTGTTGTAGTTGTGTACTGTTGAGTCGGAACCAACTCATAGCTGACCCTCCAGGTGGGTTTGTAGAGGCAATAAATTGCACAGAAATAAACTGCTCATCTTTCACTCATGGAGCTGCTGGTGAATTCAAACTCCAAGCCTTCAGTTTGGCATTGCAGCTTTTTACCACTAAGCCACCAAAAGAGGATATTAAGGCTAAGAAATATCTTTTTAAAAACAGTAGTCTAAATGCTAAAGGTTGGGTCCTTTTAGCCCATACCAAAGAGTTAAGTGGCTTTAAGGGACATCCAGGGACCCACCAAGTAAACATATTCTAAGGCAAGACCAAGGATGAACGCATTCATCACATTTGCTCTTTGAAAGGAAGGATGGTCATATTGCTTCCTTTTCCTGTTTGGTCAGAAGGCTGACAATGGACTAGACATTCCAAAGACTTATCTCCCCATACCTACTGCCCACAGTTAATGGGAACAAGTTTGTTAAATCTTCCTATATTTTAGAGATTAGAGAGTTACTTGAGTCTCTCAAGGACTTTCTAAAGAATATAGACAGTGAAGTAACCATTACTCTTGGGATAATCCATTCAGCCCTCACTTCTATTCAGACCTCCTCCCACCAACAGCTTTTCATTCCTGTATGTCAGTGAGCAACACTGACTCCTATAAATCCACGTGTACTAGCAGAAATGCTGAGGACACAGTGGAAGAAATGCTGAACAGACATGGTCTCTAATTCCTATACTTACGATTGGGGAAAAGCACAGAGAGCAGAGAATCCAACTCTAAAAGCCTTTGCCAGAGTGTCTGCCCAAATCCTTCCGGGCCCAGATGGGTGCTTACTTGTAAGATACTGCAGCAGTATCTAGAAAGTTAGGCTAAGACATTCTTCCTACACTGTTGGTTGTGATGTCAAAGCTGACTCTCTAGTGGGTTTCCAGGGGCAATCACTATTGATTGCCAATCTTTCTCCCACAGAGCAGCCGTTGTGTTTGAACTGCATGCCTCTGGGTTGGCAGTGCAGCTCCTTACCTCTAGGCCACCAGAGCTTTCTACATTGTTTTTATTGTTTTATGTGCCATCAAGTCGCTTGTGACTCATAATGACCCTTTGTACAAGAGCCCTAAACCCTGCTCTATCCTGTGCCAACCTTATTGTTTCTGACACACCTACCCACATAGCCCCAGTGACTGAATAAATCCATCTCATGGAGGGTCTTTCCTCCACCCTCCCAAGCATGATGTTCTTGTAACATGTCCAATGGATGTCAGACAAAGCTTCAGAATCTTTGCCTCCAAGGAGCAGCCTTGTTTCCCTTCTCCAGAATGAACCTGTTTGTTCTCTTAGCAGCTCGTGGTATATTCAACAATTTTCTCCAACACCACAGATCAAAGACATCAATTCTCTTCCTATCATCCCTATTCATTGTCCAGCTCTCTGACGCATAGTAAGCAAATAGAGAAAAAAAACAACCCAAAAAGCAGGTCTCTAAACAACATGTATATATGAAGCCAGCACTGATAAAAATAGTGTGCATGTGTTGATAAATAGAGGTATGTGGGTAGATAGATAGATAGATGCTCACACTCACATATACTCACACATACACACTTGCATTGAAAAAAAGACTGCAAAGCATACGCTACAGAAAGTGATCCTTTTCTAAGTAGAATTCTTATTTCCATTCTTTTTGCTTATCTAGATTTTTTAAATCTTCCATGATTGTGCCATATTATTTGTATGCTTTTTTTAAAGGCAGTAAAAGTTAATTTTAAGAGAAATTATATCCAAACGCTAAATACAGAACACCTTGATAGTTTAATAAACATATGCAGCTATCTTGCAACAAAGACGATGAACTCATCAGAGGAAGTCTCCTAAATTCCAGGATCCCAATAAAGATGATCTTTCACTTCAAGCACAAAGTATAAGGAAGTAAGATAAGAACTCTGTGCAGTGCCCCGTCCATAATCTAAAAGACAGTATGGCTAAGCCATGTTCCTTCAATGAATAATTTATATGCTTTGTAGAGTTTTATATAGGGTTGAATGCACCATCTATGCTATTTTTTTAAGGCACTATTCCCACAAACAGCCAGGGCTCTAACCAGGTATTCTAACTTTGTTTTGGTGGGAAAAACCATTTGACTGAAGTAATTTTGAGTCTAGATATTTTCCCTCAGGTTGTGATTTCTAGGAGTCCAGCAGTGTGTCAAACCTAGGAGATGGTAAACAAGCATTTGTTACATTATGCTATTATTCTCTGGATTCCCCCCACCCCCGCATACTTGGAATGTTTCCTGATTTTAAAAAGGAAAATGGAATAACAAAAGACTCGGACCTGTTTTGTTCACTGGGTTCCAGAAATGGAATTGGCAGAATTCACAGCTGTCTTCTTGAATCCATTTACTCAGTTACTCACTGACTTAAGAAATAGAGGCTAAGGCACTGTAGGACTACAGTGACAATGACTGAGGCTCTGTCTGCCCCAGCTGCAGAAGTAGAGAGGAAGAGAAACTTGAACAAATGCATGGTTGTCAATCTGATTCCAACTCACGATGAACCTACAGAACAGAGTAGAACCGCTTCGTAGGGTTTTCAGAGATGTGACTGATGTGGAGCAGTGGTTTGAACCACTAACCTTTTCAAGTAGGAGTCAAGCACTTAGCCCATTGTGCCACCAGGGCACCCAATATAGGCAAACCAACCAGAAGGGGTCAAAGAGTGACAGAAAGTCCCTAGGGGCAATGGCATCCCAGAGGGTCATTTCAGCTGTGCTGGAAGGTCAGAAGGCAGGCTTATCCTGGCATTGAGGAGGTCAACCCTCAGGTATGAGAACCAGCACAGGCAAACTCATGGGTGAAGATGAGTTCATTTGACTCGATTGGCCCAGATGTGCTCTGTTTCTTTCAACCTCCACTTCCGGCACTCTCATCAATGTCCAGAGTGTATTAGGGCAGATTCTCTGCATTCTCCCATTCTCTGCAGCCCAATCCTTTCCTGAACTATAGATGCTTCCACTACCAGGAAGGTAGCTCTGTACATCCCCATCCTAGAGAGTTCCTTTCACCTTCCACACTCCTCAAATCAGATGAACTACTGGCCAGGCTGCCAGAAACCTCCATCCATGGAGAAAGACCACGTGTCTCTGTATCTCCAGTGACATTGGCCCACCTCCTCCCTGGCTATTCCTTACTAAACGTCTTACCAACCACTCACTGGCTATAAACTGAAGTCCTGGCCAGACTCTATCCTCAGGCCAGGAGAAGAGCTCTGAGAGGAGGCAAGTGGGCAGCCCAACCTCTTGCTTTACCTTTCTTCCCACCCACCATCCCTGCTTCCCCCCTTGCTTAAGAAAAATGCCAGTACCTTTAATCAAAATCAGAAAAAGAGAGTGTAACTGTCACCGCTTTTGGCACTAGCAGGCAGGAAGTCAAAAGGTAAATCTGCTGTCAGGGACCTTTCTAGAGTACTGAGAAGCAACGATGTCAGGTGCACCTGATCCAGTCCATGGTCTTTGCAATTACTTGCTATGCAACAGAGACCTGGGTAATGACTAAGTATGATAGGAGACGAATTGATGCCTTTGAGTTGTGGTGCTGGAGAAGAGTCTTGGAGAGGTGAAACCAAGTCTCTCCTTGGAGGTTAGGATTTTGAATCTCCATCTCACATACTTTGGGCATGTGTCCAGGAAGGACCGATCCTTGGAGAAGGACATCATGTTTGGAAGGGTTGTGGGACAGCACAGGAGAGGAAGACCTTGGATGAGATGGGTTGATACAGTAACTGGGGCAATGGGGGTAGGTGTATTGGAATCAGTGAGATTGGCTCAGGACAGGGCAGGCTTCAGCGTTATGGTTGCTATGAGTTGCAGGAGACTTGACAGCACATAACAACAACTGTCAACAAGACAGGGTCAGGCAGTGGATCCATTTTTTCAGAAATAAAAATAGGAGTCTCATAGGTGGCCCCACCCTCCAGCAGAGCTTGCGGTTGTTCTTGCGTACCTTTGAGTGGGAACTAGCTCAGAGCTGACTCTCCAACAGGTTCTCAGAGGCAGTTAATCACACAGGAGGAGAATGCTTATCTTTCATGATTTGAGATTCGAACCGCTTACTTTTGGAACTGTACTACAGTTTTGAACCACTAGGCCACCGGAGCTCCCCCCGCAGAGCCTAGACTTGCAGTTTTGTAGCTCACCTAGGCTGTGCGGAGAATACTAGAGGGAAGGGAGTGTAAGTCATGGGGAAAGAGATGAAAAAGGGATGAGCCTAAACCTTGCAGGACAGATGGCTATCTGGAATCCCCTTAACAACTCCCTCAAGTAGCCAAAGAGCAGGTTGCTAGGGAGGAGAGATAAAAAGATAAAAAATGTAAGCTGCAAGCTGCAGTCTGGGTAACCTCAGTGGAACTTGAAACCAGAGCAACAATCCTGCCTTCTAGGCCCTGCTGTCCTTCAAATTAAAATGCTCCTTGCCTCTGAGCCCACTAGCCTCCAGGGAGCAGGAATGCAGGAAGGGCTTGTCACCAAGTTAGAGCTCTGCAAGAAGACGGAAGACCCCACATGGAAGTCACGATACTCTGGTCACAAGCAACTAGGTCTGCTTAACCAGACTGCACCCTT